TTTTCAAAAACTAAGAACCAACAAAGCAGCTATTAGTAAAAAATAAAAAAAAATCAGAAAGGTGGGCTTTAAGAAAGGTTTCTCAGAATGAAACAAATTAGAAGAATTTATTTCAGCAGTTGGGAATTTGTCTGTGGTAGTAGGAAAAAAGCCAACTTTTATTTTTTCATCAGATAATTTCAATTGCCACTGTCTTTCCAAAATTGCAGATAAACATAACAGACTTCATTGTTACTTTCTATACATTTTTTATGGAGCAGAAAATTTCACAGGTCATCTGCCAACCACGGATTGGGGAACACTGGTCTACACAGCACAGTACAGTACCGTACATCATCTGAAACTGGTGTAAAGGAGAATGACTCACCCGCAGCTGCCTGCAAGCAACCGACGCCTTCAAAGAGCTGGTGGCGCCACGGCGCGGAGCCCACGAGAAGCGTGACCAGGGAAACCAAGGCGGACGCGCACAGCACCACCACGCCGCCGCCGAACAACACGCAAGTCAATTGTCGGGCCAGGCCGACCGGCCCCGAGTCCGGCAACGACGTGATACACGTGTTCTGGCCCTGACACATGAGCACGGGCCCCAGGGACCGATGCGAGATGTCCGCCGACGCATTGCCGCCGCCGCGAGTCGTGAACCACGCTGGCTGGAACAGGACGGCGGCACTCACGCCGGCCGCCACGACGGACATGACGCACCAGGCCACGGCCGCCTCCCACACAGTCACCGCGCGAAAAGACCGCAGTTGCATTTTGATGATGATGATGGAAAGTCCAGTATTCGTCTGACGAGGCCTCCACTGATGCTGCTGGTGATGACGATGGATGTAAAAATAGACGAGTTATCTGTCTTGGATGATGATCTGCTGCCTGATCCTGCTGCTGTGAGGTCATTGCTCGTCATCACTCGATTGCATCCAGCCCTGTTGCATCATCATCATCATCATATGGGCACAAACAGTGCTTTCACAGCTGGTGGCCATCAGGACTCATCTGCTGGATACAGCAGTAAAATCTCATTCCAACAAACTTGTGAGGACTTCAGAAAAAGTTTAAAACAGAGAATAATTTGGTTCAGGTATAGTACCTCAGAATATGACCTCCTGCAATTTGACCATTCCACAATTCAATGGTTGAATTTGCAGGGAGATTATTGACTTGCAATTTGACCCTTGCCCCGCAATGCAACCTGCTTTTGCCACTTTTTTTTACATTTTTATACTAATATTTTTAAATTTCACAAAGGGTCTTGCAATTTGACTGCTTTGCAATTTTACCCTAGTTTGGCAATTGAATGGGGTCAAATTGTGAGGTACCACCTGTATATTAGCAAGTTTAGCAAAATTATTCACAGGAAAGCATTCTCAAATCAGACCTGATTATATAATCAGTTAGTTCTTGCTTTTTGGCATTCTAAAATTTTTATTATTGTTTCAAAAACAAGTGATCTTCTGGAAAAAATATCAGCTGCAATCAGCATATGCATTCCATCAGCAGTTACAACAATCTCTTCATTATTGGAGGATGATATGTGGAACCATTCAAAAGCATGCTTTTCATTGATGATTACAGCGCTTCATCCATTATGCTACAAGAAGCAGGCAGTCATGTTTGTGATTGGAAATTTTAAAATGAGCCTATACATTAGTCAAGAAATGTCTACCTGGAGAATCTACTAAAAATTCCTTTAAAGCATTTGTAATTATACTGGAATTGCAAAGTTTGTTCTGTATAACAATATTGTTTCAACATGTACTTGATGGGCTTTCTGCTGGGACTCAAAAATAGTATGCTATACTGAAAAATGTCTAGCACTGTAATGGTATTTGTTGTCATGAGATTTTACTGTATATACAATACATGTGGATGTTGGGGATATTTTATAGATTTTATTTATCAACAGAGAAAATGGTTTATTTTATTTCAACAAGCGACACGTCTACATTCAATCATGAAATGAGAGAATCCAAAAATTCCTTGCAAAGTTTTTTTCTGAATGGAACCCAACAAAAATCTGAAAATACTGTATAACAAATAATATTATTAAATGAATATCTATTATGACTTACCAAGACATGTTGATTGGATATTAATGACGCGGTGCGTTCTTTTTCAAGCATCTCGTCCACAAGATTGGCGCGTATATTTTATCTGCAGGATATTGGAAACTTTCAGTGAGTCACCGAAAGGAAACCGCCATGCGTACATATATAGCATGCGCCAAACCTTTTCTTACCCCACTATCACTGTACTACTGTATATACGCGTACTGTATAATACTTCAATTTTTCAACACGAGTAAAAAACGAACGAGAAAATTTGGAAACTCCCACTGAACCGTACAGGACCAAACGTTCAAAGTGTACAGAAAGACCTTATATTCATGCGTATGGTGTACCGCACGCGGGGGAAGCCAGTGAGCTACTGAGGAGCGGAGAAGATCGCCGTTTACCCCTATACAGTATATATAACGTTACCCCCCGCATACAATAGATGAGGGACAAGACGCATCTATTCTTCTGACCGAGGGTCAGCATTACGTACCATGCATAAATGCGAGCATTTGTTGGGATTTAAAAAGAGGACGATCTTGTCATAAAAAGTTTGACTCAATCTAAACTCGTTTTCTTCTGAAGTATTGAATCGACGTTACACATTTGAAGTATATACTGTAGCTACATTTTTCTTGAAATCACCAAGAGGAAATTCGTTGCAGTCAGGTGATAGCTAGACGACAAAATACTACTGCTTCTGCGTTTGACAAACATTTAAATTATTCTTTAAAAGCAAATATATCGCGTATTCAAAAAAATATTTCTCTCTAGGCACCTTTCTGAAATGATATTTCAAAAAATATACTTGAACCTTACTAAATTGAACCCGATAAGGGGAAAAGCCCCGAATTCGTCGAAATGTCCAATAAATCTCAGTCCCTGCTGAAGACCATACAGTATGAACATCATTTTTTTACCTCCTCAGAAAACGATTTGGCTCCCATCAAACTTTTCTTTTTAGAATTTTCTATATTGTGGCATCAAATTAGGGCTTGATTTTAGAGCTCCTGATTTTGTACAAGTGTACAGAGCTGCAGCTTTCCATTTCAATGAATTCTCCAGAAGAGTTGACACCTCATCAGAATATGATCCATCAATAATTATATGTTTCACTACACAATTCAGGCTATATATACACAATAACGACAGAACCTCGTCTGAAAGTCTAATTTTTGGGGTACAGAATACAGTAAATCTTAATATCTGACGCATATAATGATGAGGATTTGTTCCATAAAAATGCTGCTTGTCTGCTGTGTAGCGATGATCACATTTCAGGAAACGTTATGACCTTCGTAAATGTTTCCAAGATAAAGCCAACGAAATCAGAAATGAACTCATAAAACTCGTATACAATTGAAACGAACAGCATAACGTTCATCATATTTAATTATTCAGTAAAAAGTATCGTTTTCTACATTTATGAAATTTTTACAAGAAGTGGAGAAAAAAATGGGAAGCAAAACCAAAAATTTCGAATGTTTAACTGTCTTTGTGCATTTTCAGCACTTCGCGAAATGCGCTCAAGAAAAAATTCAATACAAGGGGTTATACGCGCTTCCGCGCGGATCTAATTTTTACATGTCTCGAGCTCCCAGTCCATTTGAACGTTTTCCTAATTCTACCTACATTATGGAGGCTTCTCTTCGTTTTTCCTTTTAATTTTCCTGCAGGATGGACGGGCGCAGGAGCTGTACAGGTGACGTCCCTCCGCCTTGACTGGGACGAGAGTTTCGAACTGTCATTTGGTACAACTTTTGTCATCAACAAAAGTTTTCCGCTAAAACTTTTTCGTCATAACAAAATTTGCAGCAAATGTCAGTTCAAAACTCTCTCATCCCAGTCAAGGCCGCAGGAAACTGGTATGGCATCACTAGTACGGCTCCTGCGCCCTTCCATCCCACAGGAAAAAAAAAAACGAAGAGAAGCCTCCAGCAACGTAGGAAAAGGTCCAATGTGACTGAGAGATCGAGATATAATGAAATCCCCGCCGCGGGAACATGAACCCCCTTCCAGAATAAGGCATTCGCATCCGCCATATTTTTGTCCTGCAACAATGAATCACATGACAGCTTCTCAGTTTTGGGCGACTCTCCTTGATGGCTGCTGCTGATGATAGTCGACTGTGTTTTACAGCAAATAAATGTGTACTGCATGGCTTCACGCAGTACAGATTCAATACTGTACTGTACTACACAGAAGTTGTCACCAGAAAGGCCATCCTTGTCTGCAAGCCATTCCTTTCAATTGTTGAGGACAAGCAGTACTTCATTCAAAGCAGTATGGAAGACATTCCCATTCAGAGCTAAAATTTGCTAGAAGGCTGTAAATGAGCTTCTTGGCGCGGTTAGCAGTCTTAGTAAGAACCGATAAGAGAAAATCGCTGCTGACTCGATCATGGTTAAATTATAAATGTTCCCACCCTCTTTCCGCGGGTTCAAAAAAAGTATTTTAATGCTTGAAGTACTGCAAACCATCTGAATAAATCAAGTTTTCCCCAAAAATAGAGAAGCGAAAAAATCTTCCTGTTTACATACGTAACGCTTCGCATGCCTCAAAAATAAAAACACCAAGTACTGAAGGTAGACCGAACAGCTTGAAGTACACTCGCATTTTTGCCCTGCCAGAAACTTCTTCTTCTCGTCTCATATTCTCAAATCATATACAGTACAGGAAAGACCCATCAAGAATAAATTTCGCTACAGTCGTGGTGTTACCAAGAATTCAAAAGAGCATGTTCAATTAATTGTAAAATATACCGAAGCTGATCATTCCTATGCATGTTTTTTCAAACTGTTGCTTTGGAAGCATTGCCATTTTCGACGAATTCCATAAATGAGCTCACCGATCAGGTGATCTGTTCATGTCGAAAATCCTTGATCATAGAAAAGCAACAGCTTCAGAATGAAATAAAGTTACGCGCGACAAAAAGCTCGACTACGATTCGGTTTTTGATACATGAATACCGTTTTATTATTCCAGGAGGAATATAAATGAAGGAAGAGTTTTTTTTTTCAGAAGACCGGATGCACCTTCTTCCTCCTTCTTGAACAGTTCGGGTTGCGCACAGAAGCGAATACTCAACAACCATCTCGGTTTCAGGGAAACAGCAAGACACCTCAATGAGCTCTCGACCCACATCAAAGGACATAGCATAGGAATACCTCCCATCCTCTACATGCAATTGGAAAAAGGCGAACATCGGAAACGAGGAAGAAATTCCGTTTCAAATGCAAATATCCCGAATCCTAACTGGCAACTCAAAAATTTCTCGCGAATTTTGACTTTAAAGCAACCAAGCAGTTCTTTTACTCCAATCAGCACCTAAGTGACAAAAATTACAAAAGGATATCGTCGTAACCTTTCACCGCCGAAGAGTCGAGCACTAAGCTCTCGGAGATGCAATGAAAAAAAATAAAATAAACCCTACCTGTTCAGTCCCAACATCGAAGAACCGACACACACGGAAATCGTCCAAGTGTGAAAATTACGACATGGCACGATTCGGCAAGAAATGAAGAGGAAAACCCGAGGGAACAAAATCAGTCACAGCCTTTAAGAAAAAGACAGAGGAGAGACAAGATGACGGAGGGGAAAAAAAAACGATGAATCGAGTCGACACCAAAAAAAAAAAGCAAGGGTTAACATCGCAACCCGACTTCAGCCGATTATCTCCATGTACTTTCTTTTGTGTTTCGTCAGCATTTCGGTGACAGTGACGAGACGCTTCAACGCTGGCTTGGTTCGTGACATGGAAATGAAGTCTTTGAGATGATGATCACAAATATGGTGCAATGTGGCGAGGTCTCTGGCAGGGTCATGCTTCAACAGAATGTCCTCTGACGGTGGTTTCTCCTTCACATTCGACAGCTTGTCCAGAAAATATATCATCCTCTCTTTGTTCTTCAAGATGAACGGATTCACCACCTCCATGTAGCTTTCCTTTCCACCGAATTCCACCAGATTGGCCAAGTTTTGCAAGCATTTCGCTATCATGATTAGCGACCTTGCAGCCTACAAAATAAGTTCAAGAATTCTAAAATCAAGTAAAAATACGGTATAGTTTTTCATGACTCGCGAGTAAAAAATAAATTAATAAATTTATCGCTGTTAAATCATATACTGTATACCTACTCTTCCATCGGTAGTTTTCGGTTTATGAACAAAAATTATTCCGTCCACAGGAACATGAAAAAACTGATGAATTTGAATGGAAAAAAAAAATCGAGCGCCCGTGATTGCCGACAGGAAATGGCACGCGTAATCATTTTTCAAGACCTTCCGGGCGGTCTGTATTCACAAAAACTGATAAAAATTAGGAAAGCTGCTCAAAGAAAAAGCCACATATCACAATATTTTATTCGTAACTTTGAAATTTTCGGGTACAGAACAGTACAAGGAGGTGTATCAAAAACTGGACGATGAAAATGGGCTTACTGTGAAGGCAACTAAGGAAGCAGTTACTGTACAGCGAAGTCTTCGGAAATTTTCAATCTGAAATTGGATCTCCGAGGATCTGAGGCACGCACATTGTGCTTTGAACCTTTTCCTGCACAACAAGCTGAAGGTCCCTCAATCATCGTTGAATGCGTCTAAACTTCATTTGATCGTAACGTGGTGCACATTATTTTCAATTAACGAATGATGAATAAAGATTGATAAAAAATTTCCATCTATACGAAATCTCATTTTACGGTGCAGTACTGCATCACACGATTCACAAGACTTTTGAGAAGGATTTCTTTGTCGCTCGTGGTAGTTTCTAGCCCGTTTTCGATCCCAATCCTAATTCTAAAATCAAGCTTATGACGCCATCGTCCTATTCACATGAACCGACGTCCCGTCTTTCCCTTTTTCGCAAAGATAAGAGATGTCATGTAGAAATCGGTCAAAACTAGAAATGAGGGTGGAAAAAGCCTTCAAAAGCAGTTTTCACGCGTTAAAAAAAAAAGATTTCGAACGAGGCAGTCCTAAAAAATAATAGCTTCATGGCATGGAAAATAAAGAAATGGATTGAGGAGTGATTAAACTCGTCCTGCCTTGAATTTTAATATTCAATGTGCCACGTGAAGCACTTTTGTGACATCCCTTGAACAAGTTAGAAAATGAGGAATCGCCGTGTTCTCTTCAATTACGCAAACAATGCCAATTTATTGCAGGACTAGTGTACCTGGGGAGGAGGAGAATCCACCAGCAAGTTGAACTGTCTTGGATTCAATATTGCGGGACAGAGCAACCGAAGAAAGATGAAGCCAGAAATGACCCTTGTCCTAACCAAGCGTTCATGCGGCCACTTCGCAGAAACAGACCTTTGCAGACAGCCAAATACATACCGGATTGTCATCGGACAAGTTTCCTGCAATTATAGAAAATACGCCAGATTATTTATCTAATCTACAGCATTCAGATTCAGAACGCTGTCAATAGAAATCAATCAAAAGTGGAACTACGCTGCGTCGAAATCGGGTTCTTTTGTTAAACCCACTCATTGCCCTCTACGACAGTGTTCCCCAACCTTTCTAGGCCCGCGGACAGGCAGATGTCCACAGAATTTCTCACGGATCGGCAAACTCCTAAAAAATTTTCTGCGGACGGGCGCCGTTTCATATAATTTTTGCAGACTTGAGGAAGTTTTGTTCGTAAGACTTTATACCAGGCATTTGATAATATGCTTTTTTAAATAAAAATTAAGTTACTAACCAGGGAAGCAGCTACAGTGGAATGTCTAAAAAAAAATTTAGAAAGGTGGACGAAGAAAAATTTCTCAGCATGAAAAATTAAAATTATTCAGCATGTCAAAATTTGTCTCAAGTGTTAATAGGGGAAAAGCTAATTTTTATTTTTCATCAGATAATTTCAACGGCCATTGTTGTTCCGAAATTTCAGATAAAGATAACATACTTTACTGCTACAGTACTTGCAAATTTTCATGAATTTACTATGCTGAAATTTTCCCACGGACCGGCGCCGGTGGTTGGGGAACACTGCTCTTAAACGTCAGGAAAGTGTCAAATGAACCAAACCCGTAGGTCCCCTGACAAAACGAAGCGTAACCCCTCCAAACGAACCTGAATTCGAAGTTAGAAAGAATAACATTCATGTGACCGACATTTTGAGAGAGAGAGAGAAAAATATACCATTTGCGTCGCTAAGAAAGATAAAATGAACGAATTCATTCGGAAAACGCTTCTATGACTCACTCGCGGGGAATCTCACAATAAGCTCTCAAGTTTCAAATATCCGCATCTGCGGATCGATGAGAAACCACTCACAAAAACATTTATGTCGATTTGGCAGGTTTAATATCTAGATCGAGTTACAATATAAAAAAAAAGAGAATTTGATAACCTGCTTCCATCAGAAAATTTGCATTTATAAGAACTACGATGGCTCTGGGGACGAAGAGGAAAAACAATTCCCTCCTCAACACAAAATTAAATTAGTAGAGGGTTTTAAAAAACCAATGCTTACGCAAGAAAAAAAGATGGCGTCCGTCAGTTCGTCGAGTGTTTGAAGCAAAAACTCCGCATTCGCGCAGGCTTCTGACTGAGACTCTAGCTTCATCGGATTCAGCTCACAGCTTTGCTTTGACTCAACCATCTTCTTCAACGTGGATGCCAACGCCGACTCAAGGAACGGATGCGACACAATGCGCATGAACGAGTCCATGAGCGATGTCGTCAACGTTGCAGACCTGAAGAAAAAAAAAAAACACAACGCTTCGTTTCACTACCGAACTTTGAAAAACGAGTGTTGTAAAATCCGGGCTCAAAAAAATTTTCAGGAGGACTGCCAAAGAAATTTTTTCGAAATATGATGACGAAAGGATTATCCGATACAAACGTAAAAATATCAATGAAACATCAGAATCCGGCTGATTTAAAAATTAAACAGCAACTCGGCTTCAACATTATTTTTTCCATTACGTCGAATATTTTCCTTGCACCCCTGATGTTGACCGACAAATCAAATCCAAACATCAAATTTAGAACACAAAAAATGTAATCAGCAAATGAGTAATAAAGAAAACAATCATTTAACGCTCAAGAAATGCGGAACCAATAAATGGAGGAATAGCAAAATAGACGAATTGGATTATGAGTCACGTCAGAGGCACATAGTACTGAAGGTGAATCCTTCTCCGCAGGCAAAAACAACACAAATATCGGATACGCAGAAAAAATAATTTCTCCAACAGCTGATCTGGTGCCCAACATTTTGATCATGTTCGATGGATTCGTGCAAGTCCAGTCAAGTGCGAAGGATCATCAAGGCAAAGTGAATGATTTTTCGTACCTAAATACAAACCAAATACTGTACATCCATCTTACCAGAAAATGACGGTCCCATTAATGCATAATTCTAAAAACTTACAAGAGCTGCGTAACGTTTATTTCGGACTTGATAACCACAATATTGAAGACATGCATGAAATCACCGAGGAAGTCATGTATCGTAAGTAGATTAAACTTTCTCTCAATAACAAACTACAGTAGTGTACCTGAACATACCTGCCTCATTTACAATGGGACCCTAACATACGGACACCCCAACATACGGGCGATTCGATATAGGGACCCTAGAACTTTAAAAATCACCGCTCCCCCCCACCCCAAACATCTGAACAATGTTTTAAGATATATAAATTCTTAGAAAAATTGAAATCTTTTATTTTTCTAAATTTTGATATCCCTTTAGCAAATTGAGCTACTGTATTTATATCCCCTAAAGTTTAAAATAAATTTTATTACAAAATTACCTTGTTTATTAATCAAGAAGGCTCATTTCGTGCTTCTTTTTCAGTTTTTTTCCATCTTGCATAGAATGTGTACACAGTTAAGATCGAATTGCTCTTTGCTTCTTGAGCTCCTTCTGATGCCAAAAGATCAGACTCGGCGTGGTTTTCTTCTGCACACTTATTTTGTCCATCTCAAAGTAGAGGAAAACATTCATGTTCAATGTTTTGGAGACTTTATTCCTATTTTTTTTTATGATCTGGATAACCTATTGAATGGGTTCCCGTTGGAGTCCACGGGAAACGTGATTCGACACATGGACGCTCTGACATAGGGAAAAGGTCCAAGCACAACTTACGTCCGCATCTCAGGGCTCCAATGTAAAACCCTGTACCAAAATCTTTCTTAAAAGCGGAAAAAATCTTTTGTCAAGCAAGGCGTGATAATTTACCGTGCAGTACTAATACGTAATTCCCTACTAGAAAACATCCAAAAAACGTCGAACGGTAATCGTGAAAAATAATCGCAATTTGACGCGCTTTGGTACCTTGAAAATAGTAAGAACAGTTTATTGAGATAAACATCTCGGAAGGTTTACCGAAACAATGTGGACGTCTCCTCTTCGCGTTCAATTTCAGCTTCGCACAACACTTGCAGCAAATGAGCTTCTTGTCGTTCGTGCACGAACACCCGAAGCAGCGCAGCGGCCAGCGGCGTTCTGTCAGAGTGGCACACATCCGCCAGCGACTGGACAGCCACGAGATCCGCGTCAAGGAGCAGTTCCAGTAAAGCCGAGTACTCTTCTCGGGGCATCACGAGGTCGTGAAGGTAACGCACTCGCAACCGCAACTGACCCCACTCGCTGACGGGCGTGACACCCATCAGCTGGTGCCACTGCTCGTCTTCCTCTCCCGATTTGAGGTTCTGCAACTCCAGGGTTACTTCAGCTATTTCAGCATCCTTTGAACGTCGGCCTTTGTTCCAAACTGTCACGGTCACTGTCTGCACATCGGGAGGAATGTCATCCAATAGGAAATCCTCTTCCCACACTGGCTCGGATCCACACTTGCCTCGCGTTTTGCAACATTTCACCTATTAATGTTGGGAGACACTTTGAAGATCTGATCATGCGCAAGCCTGTAAGAGTTGTCAACAAGTTATCTTCGCTTAACTCGGAGAGTATGAGATGCAAGACTCGCACGGAAACAGAATGAGCGAAGCGGGAAAAAATCGTGATTCGAACGGCGGATGCGGGGTTCAAAAGAAATACTCGAGAGAAAATGTTTCAACATTTTTTGAGTAAATTTATACTGGTCATCTTAACATCTGATAGGTTAGTGATCCAGGAGACACCCTTGCTCTAGTAACTATCAGGATGATCATGCGTTGAAGCAAAAAGAATAAGATTTTCGACTCTATCCCTGAGCCCCATTATAGTTGCCTCTCACTTTTCATTTTCAGAATTAAAATCATACCAATGCATGGAAACCAAACACACAGGAAGGCGAAAAAATCTTACTTGGTTCACAGAAATGGTACAATATGGACTTGGGACTAGTTTGACAGGTAAATGCCTGGCTTCCAACACAGCAATTTGAATGCAACGAAGAACTTTGAGATTGTCGATTTTTGGGGCACGCATATTTTGCGCGACACAGTGAGGCCGCATGGCACACATCCAATCCTGCACTGAGTCAGCCGTCGCAGCGTTCAGATACGTCACAGTCGCCATGCACGGCAACTCTCGTTCCACAACCTAAACCAAATCAGAAGATACAGACGTCATACATATGAGTATGTTAGTATAACGCCCCTTCTAAATTTTAAATCGCTACAAATTAATGGTCTGATTTTTCCTTGTACAGTACAGTAAAATCTTGCTACAATAAACTTTCGGGGACTGCAGAAAAAGTTTGTTGCACTGAATAATTTGTTCCTTATTCAGTGGACAAATTTTCACATCAGACCTGCCAATAATCAATAACATATTGCTTTTGTGGCATTCTCAGGTTTTATATTCAAGTTTGAAAACCTGAGTAATCTTGAAAAAATAAGCTTCACTCATGCATTCCATCAGCGGTTGAACTAATCTCTTAATTCTGAGAAAATGATGCGCATGAAACCCCTCGGAAGCATGTTCATCATTGATTACAGTTTCCATCCATGCTATAAGAACCAGTCATTTACATATCAGATTAAAAATTTCAGACTGTGCCTGCATTAGTCAGGTAATTTCTATCTAGAGAATCTATTGAACATTCCACAAAAAGTTTTTTTTACTAGAATTCGGAAGTTTCTTTCAAAAAGATTGTTTCAACAGGCACTCTATGCGCTTTTTGCTAGGACTTTTGAAAGAGTTCATTACACTGGAAACATTTTTGGTAACGGTATTTGCTAAGAAATTCTACTGTAATCAATGATGCTTCAATATAAATGGTGATCACACAAAAACCTGAACACAAGGATCAGAAACTTGTTTGATAATGAATAAAGTAGAAGTTTCACTCACTTGGAAGCAGTATGGACGATCAAGAAAACTATCATGCACCTGGTACAGGTGTGAGAAGCTGAGATCAATAATGCCCTTCGGCTTCATTCTCTTGGGGTTTTCGTAATAATACAATCGCATTTCGCCTCCTTCCACCTTCTGCAGGACGAAGTACAGGCATTTCCATTTCTTGGTCTTCTCGGAGCGTTTATTGAGCCAACCCTGCATCTTGATCGCTTTCTTCAACTGCAGTCCACATTGTTCACGACACTCTCGAAGTGTCGCGTAAATTTTTTCAGCGTGTTCCACGGACTTCGACTCGAACGAGTTCACATCCCCGTCTTGCTTAGTTACCGGCATTCCCAACGTGTGTCCCAGAACAATATATTCGTGCTTGTATCTAACAACAGAGGATTAGACAAAGTGACAAACATCTTCTGAGCCCAAACCACACAAAAGGACACATCGACATGCCTTCTATTGTTATGGTGATCAGAAAAAAAGGACCAAGACCAAATCGTAAGAACTCCAAGACGTGGGAGTAATTCAACATCTGGCGGAAGATTTGAGAAACAAAACTAGGCGCATTTAAACACAAATAATCTGCAAGTGACTTACGTTCGCATCATTAGAATGAAAGAAAATAGGAAAAAGAATCGGGAAATAAGTACAGCGTTCCAAACGTTTTGAAAATCTTGTGAAAGGACAAACACATCAACAGACCTGTTGATAACAGCGTCCAGACAGTCGAACGTCCGTCCCCCCATCAAATACCGAACGCCCTTCTTTTGAATCCGAAATCGCTGGATTTGCGAATTGATGTGGAAAAAGAGTGAGTAGTCCCCAGGTGAATTATCACTGGGGCGTACAAGGAAACTTCCTGGACCAGCTTCCACAAGCAAATCAACTGCTTCTTGCTTTGTGACAGTTGGATGGAACCAAGGATACACTGTGTTGGGATCAAAAGTATCATCCAAGTCCTCGACCAATTCCTGTTGAAAAAAAGTCAGTAAGCCTCAATTCTTGAAATTAACGTCGTTCAATTCTAAAAATTACTATTTTCACGACTGAGTTCCATGAAATTATTTCAAATTTTGCCCAGAAACTTCGACGAACACTATCCACCGAAATACAGATCGTGCTTGCTTGTGATAATCACTTTTTAACGAAATTGCACTCAGTCCCGACTAAATTCATTCTTGACAGAATGAGCAATTTCTTAAAATTAGTTTAAAAACTGACTTCAAATAAAAAATTCTTCCCCGACGGCTTTCTCGTCGAAATATAAATCATGATTTACATTCAACCAGAGCAAAAATGTAATTGCTAGTGTGGGGATGTTCGAAGAGTTGATCTGATCGTGAGAAACGGGACAACGTTGTAAACAGAAAAAATGTAAAATTATACAGTAATTTTAGCTGAGAATAACTTGCTCTCAAAGCGACATCAATTGGAATATAAATACGTAGCTCACGTGACTTCCATCGTGAGTAGCAAAAATGATTTCATGATATTTCAAACTTTTACACTTCGAAGGATGTTTTTCAGTCGTAGAAAACAATTGAGAATAATGCTTACTTGAAAAATCATGCCCTGTTCCCCAGTTCGATGAGCAGTGACCCACATCCAACCCTCCCCCATGTCATTGTGAACGAAAAAGATGTCTCCTTTTTGAAAGCTAAGCTCATCGCTGTCCGGCATCTTGGAATACGGTAAAATCGCCACCACTTTTCTCAAATCATTCACTGGCTCAGGTGGCTCCACAGGCGTGGTGAGTCGTTCATTCGTCAGTAAATTGCTTGCGTGGGTATAGAACGCAACGACATCACTCAGGGAGTCGAAAGGTCTCCCACCGATGAAAAAGGTGCCACACACACATGTCACTTTAAAATGGTTGATTCCATTTTGTCCCAAGTAAGACAGGACATAGGATCCTGGCTTGCGGTCACTTTCACGCACTAGATAAGAACCCTTTTGACGAGCTTTATTAAGCCTCTCCTCGGCAACAGTACGGTTCAATCGCCCATGGTACCAAGTACTCTCCGGTGGGGCTTTCGCTGAAATGCTGACTGTTTCATCTTCTATCGATGGTCTTGGGTCACTCTCATCATTGAGATCCAAGCTGCGGAGATTCTAAAAATAAAAATATTCGTCATTCTTTGCAATCCACAAAGCAGATATAGGTGTCGTGCTAACAGGCGATTTTGTTGAAACGTCGAAGAGAATCGAGCATGATTCGACTCACCCCATTCTACGCAAACGTTAAAGAACTCAGCAAAACTTGCGATTTAGCAACGGATAACATTGATTTACATTGTGTCAGGAGATAAATGCCAAAGCGGGACCAAGACTAGTTGAAGAGAAAAGCCGATTTGAATAAATCCTTTCATAAAACAAGACGTCAGAACTACTCCCTAACTTCTCTCAAGTTCCATTCGGTTATGCTTGTTTTAAAAGTCAATCGAAAAAACCCTGTACAAACCTGGAATGAACTGTACAAGCCCAAAATAAACAACTGTAAGGTTAACCCATCACAACTAGAATAAGCCCGTTCAATGTTTATCAAGTCACAAGTTACAATAAGACAGTACTGTATATACACCCAATATTCGAAAGAAGACACGCCTCTAAACAGAGTTAAGGTGTTAAGCAGTTAAATTTTAAAATCGTCGTGCTAATTTCAATCAATGAAACGCAACATTCAAGAAAACAAATATTGTAGGATCAAAGGCACAAACTTTCCTAAGCAAGATAATCAGTAATGCGGGATTTCCTCCGCATATCCTCTCGTCTACTTTAGCATAGTCGAACATGAATTTCTTTCCGTTTCTTGCGAAGGCATACTTTCTGGACTGACGAGCGTCTAATAAGCATTCCATATGTTACGTAAGAATGAATTAGAGACACCACTGCCCAAGTGCACCAATGAATATGAAGAACAAATATTTACTTCGGAGGACTGGACCCAGCCAAGCAGCCAACTATAAGCATCTATTCTACAAGCCATACCACCACACAGTCGCCAACCAACTGAATGCTCCCACCGACGGTAAGCGCAACAGTGCGATGAAAATTAAAATCAGAGTGGAAAAACGCGCCAGTGAGAAAACAAAGAGCAATCACCATCATACAGCAACATACCTGATGTCGCTGTGAGCAACCGAGACGACGGCATGCTGGAATCAATTAAAAAAAAAAAAAAAAACCGAACACGAGTCACATGCAGTTCAAATAAAATTTAATCGATCGAAACGTTTGTCTTTCTTCTATTACGCGAGCGAAAGAAAGAGACGGAGAAAGCGCGAGGCTCACCATCACGTTCCGATCCATCGTTGGATTGACGCAGAACTTTTTGAGTGCCAAGCAAGCCACGTCCGAGCTTAGAGGACCTGGCCAGATATTGTTCGTTACGGACTGAATTACAATGCTGAACGAAAATATTCCGAGATGGGTCCATGAAAGCGCGACGGTCAACACATTGACGTAGTTCCTTCAACGTGAGGACCTATGAAACGTCATCTTGCAATAAGAATGTCAGAGGTTGAAATCGACACTCAATTTTCAATAAAAGGAAAATCATTACACATAGCCGCTTTTACTCCGAATACTGTTCCGTAATATCAACTTTTTGACGAATATCAAACAAGCCGTACGTCGCAGAATCCATTTTCAGTACGATCCGTTACCTTTATCACGGAATTTACGCAATGAAGCACAGTACGGTGCGCGGAAAAACTCAAGTTTCGTCAGTGTGCTCTAAGTCGCCTGTAACGCAACCCGCCGGCTGACATCTTCACACGCATCGAAGATGCTTGGAGCTTCGGATCATCAGCCCACTCGAAACCTCACTACCGCCGCACAGCGCGCGGCCATACTTGATCGCTCGTAGCCCTCAAACCCTCAATGACATCTATGAATTTCATAATTAAACGAACGTAACTTTGCTTTCTCCGGTTACCACTTGTCAAACGCCAACGAATTTAGAATTTCGTAGCGTACCATATGCAGTACGGAACACTGGTACAGTGTGTTCCATATGTTCAGTACTGTGTAGAGAACTGTACTCAGCCTTCGAGAACAAAGCGGCTGCTTCAGGTCCACAGTCTTTATTTTGATAACGACGAAACATCGGCTTAGTCATACAGGATAGCCCATAAAACGTTTCTAATTTTTTTCTGATGGCATAAACATCCTCTCGTTTTTGATTTGCTGAACAAAAACACACAGTACTTTTACCTACGGCAGTATAAGATATTAATCGTGTTTGCAGCAGCATTCCCCTTTATTCTTTACAATGTGGGAGCATATAATAGATCATATTAATGAATTCTATATCAGACACATAAAGATTAAGGGATGTAATTTTAGATCTCTTTGAACTGTGGTTAAAGGCAAAATTACTTCGTGAAGACTACCTCCATTTCCATCCAGCAAAATAGACGGTTAAAAATGAAGCATAAGGCCGAACTTATAAACCAACCTTAATAATACTGTATCAAAGAAGTATCCCATCCGTGAATCAATAATTAAATGCAATAGACCGCAATTTTAAAATCGAGATCACTTCATTCGACCCGAACATCATTTCACTGCGGTAGAAAACACGATCAACAGAAGACCAGACATTGAAAAATATTTCATTCGTCGAAACAGCAACCAGCATCAGTTTGTCAGCCTCATAAGACTGTTGAATTTACCATAGCGGTTAAAGAAAACATCGTACACGTCTTCGCAATCAAGGAATACCATGGCGTGAAGGCCTCAAATTGGCCAAACTGGATGCATCCCATTTGCTGAGGTACTCGCATTATCGACTGTAAAAGATTGAAGAGTTAGATTTTTTCACCAGAAAATAATGAATACAACCAACCGAGAGAATTGGTAGACGTAGGGTTCCGATACTGATTCATACCGCTGTATACGCCCGAACTCGAAGGAGCCTGGCCCTGGTTTGCCTAAAACAAAATCGGATGCAGTTGAAAATATAGACTTAAAATATTGACTAAAGAACGGAATTCGCAAGAATAATTTACAGAACCAGACTTGGCATCGATAATACTAGAGGCATCTCATCGCCATATATTCTGTACGACGGAAAGTCAGTCTTTCTTATGCATCGGCCCAATCGATTTTCTTAGCACACATACTGGATAACGTAAAAATCCCATCTGTATAATTGAGACCATCCAAGCGTTCAACAGCCTCAGTTCAAAGGAGCATCTCATCAATTGACGCAAACATTTTAATGAATGGAGACGGGTAGGGTGCATTTTATCAATAAATTATCTTAAACTTCGATCTCGTACAAAATCGTAGATCATTGCACTTTGAAATCAGACATCCATGGAACAGGAAATGCTTGATGCAGTGATTGACTATTTTATTCATCCATTACTCATGGTAGGTAAATCGGCTAGAAAAAAAATAACGAGTCAGAAAATCTTTTTCAATCATCTAAGCTCATCTTTCCACAATGAAGACTGCTCAAATAATCGGTGAAGATAAAACTGCGTGGTAACTAGAGAAATTGGTACATACCGGTAGTTGTGCTTGGAAATACTGTTGAACCAACAGGGCTGCATCACGAACAATTACATCCTGTGTTCCGAGAGGGTTCAACTGCAACAAGCCGGATCAAATAAGTGAGCTTAACTAAATATATACAACTCACTAGCACGAACTCACCTGCGTTGCACTGCTAAGGGCTTCTCGTAACACCCAATCAACGCCAGGAATCACAACTGAAATTAAGATGATAAAAATGTTCTAGAAAAAATTGACCACTTGCCCCTTTCACGTGATAACACAATCTATTGCTGTGAGAGCAAGTTGATGGGAAAAAAAATTAGTACAGGATATTGAAGAAGAACGCAAAACAAATGCAGAAAAACTGTTCTTCTAAGTTTACTCAGTGTGCTCAAATATTACGAAGCGGTTCAACGATTTTTATAATGTTGTGCAATTGAAAATGCAATTAAGGGGCCATACATTTTCTGGCAAATTGAATAGAACTTTTGGCCCACTCAAGAATATTCTTATCTCCGAATTGACAGAATTAATTATTCTGAAACTCCCGAAGAGGTTTAAAATGTAGAAGAATATTTCTGATGTCATTAAAATTATCTCAAGTGAGAAACCATAAGACACGGATTTTTTTTTTTAATGGACTAGGGCATATTATGTTCAAGTCTAAATTGACATTAAAAAAAAACTGAAAAATCAAACAGCAATAAACAAACCATTCGGATTCAACAATATCCTTCTCAAAAAGTCTGCAGCTCCATCGGGAGTAGACATGTATGGAACATTGACCAAGGAATTGAAAGCCTGTGCTTTGGATTCCTCCATTTGCTGCACTCGATCATACTCTTCCCAAGCAGCTCGCTTTTCGTCTTCCCCGAGTTCTTCCTCTATTCGGTTTTCCAACAAGCTGTCGAAATCCTCATAACCAGCAACCCAATTTGTTCGATTCACCAGAAGATCCGCAAGCACAGGGTCCTGGAAAACGAAAAAACTAACTGACCTCCTTCCACTGCTAATTCACAAAATGCCGAGTCAAAAAAATAATAATTATAGTAGATAAAAAATTAATCTAAAAAACCACGTTTTCAAAAAGCAAAAAGATTGCATTGTCATCAGTTTCTAAGCTATCCTGAAAGTTTCAGCTTGCTAGCTAGTCGGGAAGTGAGCAAAATTTGAGTTGCAAAATTTGATCCGGACAAACAAACGGACAAGAAAGCCAGTTAATAAAAACGTGTTAAAAAGGAAGAACGATGTCTTCTGTAAAGCTAAACTATGACAGAACCTTCTTGACTAACAAAAACTTGAGAACTGAATTGTCATAAAAGCAAATATTCGATTATATCGAGAAGATACATAATTCGATTACATAAAATACATTCTGATAATCAGAAACTACGGAATAATTGGAAAACCACGACCCAACAATTTTTCGAAAAGTGAATGCGTACGTACTGAAGGAAGAGCTGGAAGCGGACGTGATTTTTCCGCAATAAGTTCGTCCAGCTTGTACAAGGCTTGTAGATCCGCTGACAGAAAATGACGAGTGATCTGGTGTTCATCGATCACACGAGAAGAAAGACTAAGCTTTGCGATACAACGGGCATAAATACGTTCCTCCATACACCCAGTGGCTACCAATCGATACACGTATACCTGAAAATTCAATAAGAACTTCGTGAACATATCGGTTTGATGTTGCATAGGGGTGAAGTTCGATAATTTGGCACTTCGAAGAGGATAAAAGTTTCTTCATAGCGACATCTTCCAAGGATTGAAAAATCATTGCGCACTTTGAATGCAAAACTGGTAAAATATGATATCCACTTCTCAAATCCCTAAAGCTGAGTCAATGCAATCATGGCATCGTGGAGGTACCTTTCCGAGGGTTCATTTTTCTCGTCTTTGACTTAATACAACTGCAGCCAGGGGGAAAAATCGCAGCGTTCAAAATGTAAATCAACGAGGGTGTCAATATTTAAAGAAGTGGCAGCATTGGTCCACATTTTTTGCATTTCCAGAGTAATGTTGCTGCCGTGCGCATACAGTCAGGTACTAACCGGTTTCGTCTGTCCAAGTCTATATATGCGGTAAAGGGCTTGGACATCATTCGCAGGATTCCAATTCACGTCAAATAGTATCGCCCGGTTTGCACCAACCATGTTCACACCAATGCCTCCAGCTTTCGTCGAGACTAGCATTAGACGCAAGGAATTGTCCGACCTGTTGAACTTATCAATGGCCCTGGCACGGTCTTCCGAAATTGTGGTGCCATCTATTCGAGCGTAATCCCTGTTTTTCTGCCAATGCCGCAGGGCACCCAAGTTCTCATCCCACACTTTCCTCACATTGCCGTCAAATGACCTCGTTTTCGCATCATTTCTGCCCATACGATCCACCCGAGAGAGAACGTCTTCAACAAAATCCAGCACCAAAAGGGATGAGGAAAATACGATCAGCTTTTCCTTTTTCATCTGGCATTGCAGCAGTATATCCAAGAACACATTGACTTTTCCCGAGTGCTCGAAACTTTCCAGTTCCGTATCTTCAGCAGTAGCTTTCCACCAGTTGGAGTTCGCAATAACTGCCTCAAAGTCGTCGTCCGACTCGAGACCGTTCTCATTTCTGAAGAGAAAGATTTTATCGACTGAATGAGAAAACCAAGAAGGGGAATATGTGGCTTTATGTACGCTCCGGTAAATTTAACTTTGGTCAATTCGTGAGGTTCCCCCCAGCAATTTTTGAAAATGAACGACTTGAACTCCTTTAGACATCTGGAGCAATACAGTACCCCGCAGCTTTGATAGATTTCGTCTTCTTCGCTTTTGCATCAGCCTGCCGCTGATTGTACCGGGACTCTTGCATTTGTAACAAGACGGGATGAGTCCACACACGGGCAAAAACATGAAAATCTTGTAGCAAACGCTGTCGACTGCCAGTTCCCTTTCCGCCAATGCCACCCTCCAAGGCAATTTGGTTCAGGAATGCTACGTAGAGTTGGCGCTGAAGCGGGGAGAGCTTTATTTTGATCACGTATTCCAATTTTTCCGGAAGATATGGCTTCAGAACAGTATAGGGAAGACGCTGGATGATTTTTTCGAGCTTGCGATGCAAGACGAAGCTACGCCGCTTCATCAAATGCACGTCTACAGCACTTGAATCCATGTGCGAACCGTTTTGTATCGGATTTACGAATCTGAAAAAGGCCGATAAGCGTGATATACAATACATCAATATCAATACACCAACGGTACCTGCGGAACAGTTTTAGCACAGGATGACGAAAATTCTGCGAAATTTAATTACGGGAATAACCAGAAATATTACATTTGAATTTCGAAAAAAATAAGGCCAAGCCAGCCATGATCTTATATGCGGAAAATTGATAGCAAAAAACCGCAGGAAAATTGTAAAAATTATTTTCACAAGGGATTATGTTCAGTGTTGTGCAGGAATAGAGACAATTATTTCGATTTATATAAAAGAAACAGCAGCGAGACCCACCTGTTGGAGAATTGTTGTTTCGTGCCCAGCAAATTTGGCTTTACAATTTGGACCATGGTGTGATATTCGTTCAGGTTATTTTGCAAAGGGGTTCCGGTTAGAATGATTTTCCGGCGAGTTTTCATTGGTTGCAGAGCCTTGAAGAGGGCTGATTTTTCATTTTTCAGCAGATGGCCTTCGTCACACACGACCATATCAGGACCTGGAGCAATCAACGCCTCTTGCAACACGTCAGCAAAATTTTTCGCCGCTTTGTCCACGGGGTTTCCCAATGTACGAAACGCAGGGTAGCCCATGATGAACACTCCTTTGCTTCTACGAAATAAAAGAGAACATTTGCTGGCTTCGTTAGCAGTAATTCTCTGGCTGTGATGAGATAGGTGACACGCATTCACAAACCGTACGTTTTCAAAAAGGGTATTATAATAAGACAAAAAATCAGAGAACATCAGATTCTTGAATTTGAATGTTTACATTTTGTTTTCATGTGATCGGCAACCAGGAATCTGGACAGTCAGGTGACCGATCACAATCAATCAACTCAGAAAAAAAAAAGAAAAACGAATGGAATAATTTATAATCCAGGACACCGTGGACATCCCTAAAAGTTGAGAAGAAACAAACGTTTGCCGACAATTTCAATGTTAAGGTTTAGACTTTAGAAGTTTAGAGTGTCTGAACTTTTACCACACTGAAAAGGGAATGAAACTAAAATAAATCACTGAACAGTTCACAGTACAGTAATTTTTCCGAATTCAGATTGACATCTTCGTGTCCCACGAGAAAATTGAAATGAAAATGTGACCTCAAAAGGAAAACGTAAAAAATGTATAGACAGAACATTGAAAATATCCCGATGGGTCCTCCTCAAGACCAAGTTGAACACAAGTCTTTCTTGAAAGGTATTCAATATTCAAAAAAGAGAATTTTCAAGAGAATTGTGTATTCTGGTACTGTACATCACGATTCGACAGTTCAAAGTCAGGATAAACGCTCACCTGTACCAAGTCCGAATATTATGAACACGATTTTCCATCGAACACTGCTTTTCTGGGAATGCATGAACGATGACGTCATCTTGAAGACGGGTTTTCCGCAACCACATCCTGAACTCGTTTTGCCAGTTGATGACAGTATTCTTTGGACACAGCACCAAGAACTTTTTCATCTTCAAACTACTATGTGTGGCTAACGTGTGGATAAGGGCGATGACTTGCAGTGTCTTCCCCAGACCCATACAATGCGCTAAAATCGCGCCACCACCGACATCTCCAGAACGAATTCGTTCTACGGACTCCACAGCGGAATTGAACATAAACGTAACACCTTCTCTCTGATGCGGTTTCAATAGTTTGGCAAGCTTTTCGTTCACTGATACAGTTGGCAGCTTAGTCTCTTTGTCGATATCCAAGTAAAGCGGTGATTCCGGTTCTGCCACTTTTGCTCCCAAATTTTCTAGATTTTTTTGCTTCTCGGCGAGACGAAGAGCGCGTTCTTTTTCTTCTCGCATCACTGTTTGCGTGTCGCGGCCGAGTTGCTTGGAGCTCATGACCTTCTTGATGTTACGGCGACCAGGGGATGAATGTTGACTTGATCCTGCAGGGAGTTCATCGATAATCTGTAGATCATCATCACTTTCAGAAGATATCTGCAATCGGTTTCGCTTCTTCGGCATTTGCCTCGCTTTTCTCGACTGCAGAAGATCATCAGAATCCGAAGTTTCCGAAGATTCGTAATCGGATTCCGAGTCGGTTTCACTTTTAGCACCGTTGCTCTTCGATTCATCTTCAGATGAATCACTTGAACTGGATATTCTGAAGGTTCTACGCGTATTCTTTTTTGAAGAACGTCGGTGAAGCAACTCTTTCAACGCTTTCTTCCGTATTTCTTTGGGTTCCTTTCGGTCGCCCCTACTCTCTTCATCCTCAAAATCTGAAGAACCCAACCGCACACCTGATATGAGAGCATTCACGGACTTGAGATTTTCGTTTGAATCTCGTTCTCCTTCCGGCGAACACTTGCGGCTTGATGCTGCAGATGAATCCCTGCTTGACTCGGAAATTAACACCGTATGATTAGTTTTCGAGTGACCCTTCAGCGACGGCGGTGAAGAAATGCTCATGTCCAAAGTTTTAACGGATTCTTCGGAGTCAGATTCTGATACTAAATGCTGTGAGGTTGAGGTAATAGCTGGATAACTTGCATCATCACTATTGCCGGCATCATCGGAATCAGCGGATTTCACAGAGCTACTGGAAGACTCCCCTGAACTGAGCATGGAGGACAAATTTCTCGCCACTCGCTTCCTCTTCGGTCTTTGATCAGAGGATTCACTTCCACTATCACGACGCATTGGTCGCTTCGGTCCTAGTACCGGGCGCAATAATCGCTCCCACTCTTCCTTTACTTGCTCATTAGACGTTCGACACAGGAAATCAGCAGAAGCAATGCTCCAGTTCGTCTCCAAGAAAGACTCGATTTTGTGAGGCAGTCTATTAAGAACGACGGTGCAATCGGGAAGGCGTTCCTTCATGATTTGTACGGGATCATATCGCGGGAGAATTATCCTTGGATGCAACAGAGGAGATTCTGTTTGACTAGCCACGTCATCTTCGGTATTGGGGAATCTAAGCGTTGGGTTCAACGCCGACAGCCATGATGACGTCTGGGACAATTGATTTTCATCGTCGAACTCTTTCTTCACAACAATCGGTTCCAACTTTATTTGAACTTCCTTTAGGCCGTCGACGTCCTTTTCATGCGAAAAGTTTTCTTCCTTCTTTATGAATGGTTCGTATGACACACGTTCAGTCTTCACAACCTCTTCCGCGGCTACATTTTCGTCCGTAGCGACGCCATCTTCAGTTTCAAGCCCACTTTTTATATCCTCAGTTTCAAGTCCACTTTTTAGACCAGCATTTAATGAGAGATCCTTCGAGACCTCATTCACAGAGACGATACCGTTTAATGGGAAACGATTATCTGTAGAGCCAAAAAAAGAGGGAAGATTTTTCTGAAAAGAGAAAACTGGGCTACGCAGTATCAGAAAAAACCTGTTGGCCACCGAGTATTCCTCCGACGAGATCAGGTGCACAGGAGATGTCTGGTTTCCGCGGGAAGCACAGTACAACGTATGACGGGAAATTAGGGTAGAATACAGTACTTCAAAATCTTCAGGTGATCAGCGAAAAACTTGTTTAGAGTTCTTATGCATAAAATGTTTTTTTTCACAGGATTAAACGAACACCTTGAAAACCAAACGACAAGATCGCGTTCGATTTTGCACCGTATTTTCTTTACTTTTTTCATTCATGTATGTATTTGAGATAAGAGTTTATTTCTGATCTCGTGTAGTGTATCGGTTGGACTCGAAAATTGGTTCACATCTTCTGCAGTGAAGCTTAAATGAATGACAAATTATTCAATAGATAATGATAAATATTGACTAAATTGAATTTTTTTTTTCACACGGCGGGAAGACGAAAAAGCCAGTTAAGACCACTTCCGAACATGTTTGGGCTCTTACCACATGAGTCGTCTTTGGCTTCTTCCTCAGAACTCTCGCTCTCACTGCCCAGAAGCATGCAAACTTTCTCAAAAAAGTTTTCGGTTGGTGCCACACGGACACCCTCTTCAGGTTTTCGTGCTTGTGCAATCAAGGTTTCCGTTGGGTTCGAGTCCGGTTCTTCCGTCGTCACTTGAGACTGCTGTACCTGAGGCTCAGAATCGTCCGGGGTATTGTAACCTCCCAAGCGCTTTGACGTGGCCGTGGAATCCGAGGATCCACAGCGTTTGAGTGGACCTGGCGAATTCCGACGCTCGGCGACCGCCCGATGTATCGGAGCTTCTGACAGAAATTTCTTCAACGGATAGGATGTATCTGCTTCGACACCTGCCAAGGATGTCTTGGACAGGGAAGCTAAGAACAAGTATTTCATTACTTAAGCCCACATATTAGCAATCAATGCATCCAGATCAGGCCGAACTTATCTCTTTTCACGGATTCGACGGAATCGTATGTAATTCTAAAATATAAAAAGGCAGTAATGGTTCGAAAAAGAACATGCCTGAACAAGCGACACATAACGGGGTCGAATTTCCAATTTTACAATCTTTTAAAGAAAAGTTGGACATTTTAGAGATGCGATAATCAACAAAAAAAAAGCCTCACTAATGCTCATGACACGTGAAAGCAATTTCAGCTCGGTCACAGAAATACTTTCCATCTCCAGGTTTTAGGTCAAAATGTTTCTTAGGGCACATTGGTAGTTTTTCTTTCATCCCTTTTTCCAAGTAATTTCATTCTTGCTTCTTTCTTGAACTCGATTTTTCCATTAACACTCCCCATTACATAAAATATTTTTTTGTAATATTTTTCTGCTGGTTTTTTCATGTGAAATTGACTTCCACGAAACCAAGACTTCTCATCAGCCTTTCCTCCCGGTATTTCTTCACGGCGCATATTTTATCCATGCGAGATTTGCACGAGATTTCAAAGTTTACGGAGTGACAATTTCATGATAAAAAAAAAATGTTGAAACCCGTGGAATGCTACAATTCTTGATATCAGGAAATTTTTTCCAATCAGCAAATAAAATGCCAAGGAGTCTGGAAAACGGAAATGAATTACTGAAATCATGTTACCCTAGAAGTAGTCGGGCCTTCTGTTGAACTCTGCGCGAAATTAAAACTATATCTTACATACAGTTAAAAATACTGCCAGGTACCCGCGAGGTGCGTTTCTTCCTCACCTCCATCACGATTTCGGAGAAGTTTTTCGGCAACAGTTTCCCCATTTCGAATAATTTCACGATATTCACTTTCAATTGCAAGTCGCAGGAACGACAACAAATCTTCAACGGCGTCTCTGCAATTCTTGTGGCTTATTTCGAAAGGTGCACGATGAATGTCATCAGCTGCGTCGCGCAATTTCGTTGCTGCACGCAGAATGTCTGAAGATGATTTCTCCGCTCGATCTGCCAGATGGCGGCACTCGGAGACAAACGAAAAGCTTGCTTCATCGATCATCTTCAGCAGGCACAGATTCGACCGACAACTAGCACCTTGCGTTTGCGTTCTCGTATCGAACGCATAGCGTTCTGTGGGCAATATTTCAACATTAAACTCGGGCAAAAACGTCGGTGTCAGTTGTTGAAAACACGGAGGAAACTTCAGAGTTGAAAAAATATTTATAAGAAGTGCACAGCTCACTGCGCATCCCTCAAACAATGGAATTCGGAGAAAAGTAAAAAAAAAAATTCTACAAATATCAGTGAAAAATGGCGAAAATTCTTCAGGCACGTCACATGGCGAATGGTATGCCTTTGGTTCGCTGGAGGCCATAGAATTTTTTGACATTTTGCATGACATCGTACTTTTTCCTCTTCAGAAGAAGCAATGACGTAAGCTCGAGTACTCCCATGTCAACTGCATTTCCGATCCACTAAAAACATAAGATGCCAGTAAGGAAAACGGCATTTCTACAGCGACAATAATCTTGAAAGACTTGCCTTGACTTTGAAAATTATGTTCCAAGAAACTAGGCTTGGACCTATCCATGGGAAAAATATCGCCCGAAGGATTCGAATCAGGCGCTGAAGCTCGCTGTGGAATCAGAAGAAGCCATACAGAACAGTTTAAAGAACATCGATCGACACATACGATTGGTAACAACCACAAATTATTACAGACGCAACTGTTCGAAGGCTTCGAACTACAGCACCTGTCAATTTGTTTCTATTTTTCGAAGTAGTTTGGTCGTAAAAACGCCAATGGTTGCTTTAAAGCTTTTAAATCACCAGTAATCGCACTCTTTTTTGTTCACGTTTTTAAAAATGCTTCTTCAGGATTTGACTTCAGAATGATTCTTCAGAACTTGACTACCTTTTTTTTAAACAATTCTTTGCACTTGCAGGAAACCATTGAAGATCATCAATGCAGGAATCATACATGCAATGGTCGCCAAAATTTAAATTAAATACTTTTCTAAGCAAAAAGTGACGGATGGTGCAATTTCCTGACGTAGAATTTAGTAAATGATCCAGTCAAGCCCTCTACTTGATCAGATAATTGGCAGATTCTACACTGCCAGTAATGTCATTCCGAATCCCGTGAAATTTTAAAAAATCGGACTGCACGAGGAAATCACACGTGTAATAGCATCCCACGGAAAGGATGAATACACTAATTTCACGCTGATCTTCCCCGTTATGTAATGAGTACTGCTTAGTTTTCATTTCATGAACAAAAAGGCATGTATTTAAGGGTACACGCACTGTTTTAATAACGACCGCTCCTCGTCCATCGCAGAAACTTGATATGTATTCTCCAGTGGCTTTTCTCAAGCTCGACCCACAACAGTCCAACCAAAATTTGATTAGTCTCACTGGAACCTAAGAAAAGAAAATGAATTACGATGGCAGGGTCATAAAAGAGTATGTCCGCGTCTAAACCATACCTTCGCAAGTTTCATTGGCAACAAGCGACAGTCCGACACTTTCCGTACGTCAGAGTCGCCGAAATCGAAGAAGTCCACGAGAAGCGAATCCGAATCCATCACTTCTTTCACGGAAAACCTCGCCACCGTCCCAAAGTTATCAAGGCACATGCCAACATCACCAACGAACCATTCTTTGGTGTCTGAAGCACCCGTTGGAACGAAGTCCAAAAATTGTTCAGAGCATGAAAAAAAATCATGCGAAAAAAATATGTTTCTTTCGATTAGAGAGTAGCAAGGCAAAAACTAAATAAAAAATCACGAAGTTCTTCGGGGAATTAACGACGAAAGAGATCGTGTATTCTTCAGCGAAAACTAATTTTAGAATTCTTTGCTAGACTTATTCTTGTCTTCGTTAAATAGTTCGTTAAATAGTCGTTAAATAGTGTAGTGGGGGGGGGGGGGGGGGGGGGGGGGAGAAAAGAAGAAGCGCCTTCCATCTCGCAATCGTGTCAGAAAAGGCTTCCGCCCACCAGTATTCAATGCTTTGACGGTCGGATCGCGGTGGACTCAAATATTTTACAAACATTCCCCGGATGTACTAGAGAGCTTGAATGATTAATGAAGCACTCCCATTTTTCCCGGCCATGCAGGTGGACTCTTTCTATAACCAAATTCCAGTTCTTTTTTTAAATATGCTTTCTGATATGCAGAGTACTGCAGAATAACTCGGATCATCCGGCCTCTGATTCACAAAGCATCCGATAAACCGTACCCGAATTTTCCATTAAATATGCCTGAATTTTAATGCGCTGAGAAAAATTATGCGTATTTTGGGCTTTCAATTTTTTCTCGGAATATCCCTGCTTCTCCCCGTCAGGATCTTCAATGAAACCAGTGGAAAACATTGGGACGAGCACCGCATCGAAGAACCATTTTCTTCTGATCTAAACTCGCAGAAATGTGGCTGGGTGAACGGATATTTTCCTTTACTCTCCAATTTCATTGCATGAACTTTTCAAGATTATCAAACATTTTCTAAAATACAAGACGTCGATGAAAAATGGAGGGAAACCTGGCTTTTGGTCAACCGTTCGAAAACGAATCCTCTATGTCCTGTTTCAAAACAGATCATTTTATTTTCAGTTTGATAATAGAAATTTAACTTGCGACCAGAAAATTCCACCGCATTCGGATTCGATTGAAATGGCCGTATAAGAAATCGCGAAGACTCGATTCATCGCTCTTTCTCAAAAAATCGTGGAAAAACGGACAGCGATCAAAATGTGCGAGGATCTCTAGAAAAAGTCCTTCCCATCCAGATTAAAATTTTAAAAAAAACCGCCGTGGAGATGATAGTCGCAAAAGCAGAGAATATCGTATTGAATGACGGAATGAATCATCGTTCCCGACAATATTTCTTTTTTCGGGGACTAGTACCGTCACGTCCGCTTGAACCCTTGTCTGCTTGGTTCCCTTGGACCCTCGCCTTTCTCCTGTTGATCCCCTCGCGTGGGCAAGTTTTCGGCGTTGCCCGGGATAGAAACGCACAGGGAGATAATCGCTCAAGGGCTGTGCGGTTGATAAGGAGGTTACAAACCCGATTCCTGCCTCCGGCTGTCACGCGGAGGTGTACCGAGTTCTCGCCCGGCGGACAGTCACAATCAGACCACGAGAAGTGAGTGATGATAGTGTATTCCACCTGTCGGGCCCGGGCAGCGTCGCGGATTATTGGGAAAGACAACACCTCTGGGGAACAACCCGGGAATCACGTTAATGCTCGAGATTCCCGGATCTGTCATGGGCCCCGCGTGAGGCGACATTGAGGATATAGTCAAGCCTCCTCGGTTGGCTCATCCCGAATGCGAACGTCGCATTGATGGGTGACTGATAACGAAGTCGGCTGTTAATTACTTCGGATGCCGTCTCCTTTTCATCGCGCTTATTGTCCGTCGAGTTTACGCGCAACAGGATCCACTTCACGCGCTTCGTTGTCCATCATACATCATTGGCGTGCGTGTTTGAAACATCTCGGCGCCGGAATGCGCCTTGTTCGGACTCGGGTTCTTTTCCAGGGGCATGGCGCATCTGAGGGTGGAGCCATCAGACATCGACTGTCGTTTCTGTGTGTCCAATTTAATAAGGAGCTTCGAACCCGACCCCGTTTGTGAACAAACGACGCATCGGCTGTCTGCGATGATGCGTTCAATGGGAAATTCGTCTATTTATTTCGTTACGTGGCCTAAAAGGAAAAATCTTCGTTCAAAATTGAAGATCAAGAAAGGACACGAGAGAATTGGTTCACTGGATTTTTCAGCCACATGCTTCCTTTTGCCGGAGTCCAATTCAACGTATGAAGATGGTCTTACATGTTCACAGATCAGTGTCCGTCCATTTCCACATACACCCCTGTTTCGAATTTTGCTATCTCAATTTAAAATGGGTAAGATACTCATCCGATGAAAATGCGTACTTTACCTGAAATCTTAGCAATTTTCATAAATTTTCAGTTAGTCTTACCAGCTCAAAGAAATATCTCATGAAAATCCTCATCAATTATATCCCGGATATACCAATAACGTTTCTCTGAAGAACATTTTATCTTGGTTTTTTTCGCTAGCCACGGTGAACATACATTTCCATAGGTGAGCAAAATTTGCTCAATTCAATCGAGGACTGGGATAGAAAAATATCCTTTTCCAATAAACATATGTTCGCTTCAAGTCTCATCATTGATTCCAGAATGGCTTTGGAATTCCTGACTTAGATCTTCGGCACCCACTGAAATTTTCCTTTTGAGTATACTGACAAAATTAGAACCAACATTGGAACCTCCTCATGCCCCACTGTACGAATCTCCGATTTTTTTTTAATCTGCAACCATGTTGCTGTTTAATGTTAAATTCTGTAAAATGCCCCGATTCGAATTTGATGCAGCATTTTATGCAGGGATTGCATCTTGAATTAATACTTGGTATCGTCAGTTTAGACTTTATTTTTTTGGTGCAGATATTATTCGATGGTTCAGAGAGAATGGGGGAGTTTATTTCTTTTACTCATTGAAGCCTGCGTTTAAATGTATGCATATTGTTGCCGAATAAATGCTTATAGTCGAGCATTGCATTTTTTTGTAAGTATGCTGGGGTTTTTCATACTAGCGCTAAATTCCGAACAACCCGAGAATTGAACACGGTCTATGTGGCACGAATATAAGCTATCCCCATCACCGAGGAGGTTCAACTATATCCTCAGACGAAAAGATTGATTCGAAGATCCATTTATTCGACTGTCGTCCGATATGATTTCAACTCTAAGGCGAATTTTCATTTGGCATTCGAGCAAAAGAAATAATATAAAAGAAGACAAGGGGAGTGAAAGGGCTGTAGGAGAAAAAGCAGAACGCCGGACCCGAGATGTAGATAGGGTAAACGGAACTCGAAATCAATACCACCACCGGTGTCCTTTCGTGTACATACGAGCTCTGTGTGTCGCGTTTCTCCGCGGCCCAGAAGAGTCCGCGGGAATCGAAATACTCGCGTGCTGATGCGACCAGCGATTTCTTTGAAGTTCGGACGCATACACGAGGCCCTGGAGCTTTGGCACCAGCAGTGGGTTCCACGCACGAACCCGCGACCCGGCTTTTTTTTTTTCTTCCCCCCGCTGTATCGCGAGCCCCGATTTTTGTCAACAGACGTGGATATGATGACGTTTTGCAACAACCGCGTATCGGCAGCGACCAAACAACGCGGGTCAGAGAACCGCTCCGTGAATTATTTCCCGCAATTCCAGGTCATGGGCTACACTCCGCGTTCGCGCGCAATAAGGGGGGATGCTGCCTGTGCTGTGGTGCCCGTCGACCCAATTTATATACAGTACAGTACTTTCCTCTCACCCCCACTCACGTACATCACGCCTCCGACATTCGAAACAGCAGCAACTTTGTCTCAATTCTTTTTCTTCAAAAATTAGTCTCAGAAAGCAAGAGAATATGTGGAACGATTTGTCAGATCTGACGGCTCTTGATCAGCAATGCTATAAACTTCATTGACACTACTGTAAAGCCGGGTTTCCCCTTTTTTGCTGCAGCATATAAATTTCAAGTCGTAGTTTTAGTGCTTGCACACCATTTTTTTTTTTACCAAGAACATGTAAGGACTTGAAACTAAGTTCTGGTCGTAGTGCTTCATACTTGTTTCAAAAATTCCACTCGAGGATGCATTCTAAAATTATATTCTTTTTGCCTTCATTTCAAGCATATTCAACTATCTTTAGTCTTCTTATTTTTTCACGTTTCTTATCATCTGAATTCAATCAACAATTTTCGCATTTCATATAGCATGCTTCGAAAAAGCTTTGCTCCAAAAAAAAAAAAACTCTTGCTTACCACCCGACAGGTGGCCCAAGCACCACCGTAGCGATCCATGTACAGTACCAATGTCTGGAACGCTTAGCTATAAATAATGTCTTCTTTATTAATCATCAGCGTTGAAGGATGGCGGATTTTTCAAGATTAATAAATGAGACAGACGCATGTTATAGAACTCGTAGATGAGTTAAAAAGAAACATTTACAGAAGACAATGCATATCGCTCGTGGAAAAAACCTTGGGATGATTAGTATTCGGGAGGTCTTAATTTACTTTTCCACACAGCCCGGACCACCCTGGGATAAGCTTGAGTACTTCCGTAATTTTAATGAGCTGTGGTGGTTCAGATCGGTTATCGGAGGCTGCTTCTCATAGCGAGAATGCGAATCTGTGCCGTGTCTGGTGACAGGTAAAAATACTGGGAATTATGACACTTGTTTTCCACTTTGATTGATCCTCGTGTCCTAATGAGTAGTGCCCCAATAATATTGTATATCACTGCAATGCATTCATTTATATTGTATTCTGAACTTTTTTTCAATCGAAATTCCGAGAAAATAGACTGAAGCAGAATTACTTTTACAGTATTATTATTATACATTATTTCCAGCTAAAAGCCTCATCGAAAATTGCAAAAATAATGAAACGTTTGGCGTATCTAAACTATCGCGTGCTTTTTATAACAGCAAAGAGGACAGGAAACACATTTTTCAGGCATGGTCTGAATGTTTTCAAATTATAGCGTGATGGGAGATGTAGCCACTGCTGGATAACTCAATTCGCCCCTTCATGTGTCTCTGTATTT